CTCTCTCTCTCTCTCTCTCTCTCTCTCTCTCTCTCTCGTCTCTCTCTCTCTCTCTCTCTCTCTCTCTCTCTCTCTCTCTCTCTCTCTCTCTCTCTCTCTCTCTCTCTCTCTCTCTCTCTCTCTCTCTCTCTCTCTATCGTCAACTTCTCTCTAACGCTCTCATTCATTCTCCCACCCTTTTCCCCATCTTTCTCTCACTTTCTGTTGTTTCTCTATTTGCACCTCTCTGAGCATCTATACCTGTATCTATCTGTATCTACCTGTATCTATCCTATATCTCTGTGAGCATCTATATACCTGTAAGCACTGTCCAGCTCTCTCGCTTCCCACCTCTGTCACATTCGGATAAAGCTTGTGTCTTACAGGCACTGCGTTCCTGCTCTCAGAGCCATCTGTTGGCAGAAAAACATACATATTATACATACTAGATCAGCTCGTGGCAAGTTTTATTATTAAATCTTTATTGCATGTAATTCAAATACAAATACACGTACTGACGGCAATCTTTTTCATGGAGAGAAAATCTGATAAATGCAATAGTTAAAATGATAAAATCCGAAATATAAAATAAAGTAACACCTAGATAAATATTACACAGATAATCGATAATGCTACCATGTGGATACAACCGAATCCATCCTGATCAATTACTGATCATCAATCCCGTATTGATCCATCCCCAATCACTGATCGATAATCAATCAATGACTCATAAATATCTCACCTGCATTCAGCTCGAGCAGGAAGGGCAGCGCGTCTCCTTCGAGCTTCTCCTGTCCCCCCTGCGGAGACTCCTTTCTCAGCTGCGTTAGAGGAGGCTCCCTCTCCGTCTCCTTCTTCTTCCTCCTCCTCGGAGGGTGATCGGCTGGCCGGTGTCGTATTTGGAATATGATCTGAACTGTAAACGGTAACCAGCTAATATTTTACACCCTTCGCTCTGGATGCTCTCCTTTTTATCTCTCTCCCCCTCTCTCGCTCCCTCTCTCTCTCTCTCTCTCTCTCTCTCTCTCTCTCTCTC